GGAAGTTGTAGAAACACTGACATTTTTGCAGGGTCAGCAAGCATTTTCTGTACTTGCAAATTGTCAAAGCTGTGAAAATTTTAAGGGGCACACCCCCAAAACAATATTTTTGCACCTTTTTACTTGTTGCAGCTTCTTTTTACCAAGGGGTGACCAGAGGGATGAAAAATTAGATGATTTAAGCTTTAAACAGCCAATAGATTGGCTGTGAAACTGCCATTTCCCATCATGGGATGTCATCAAACCCAGAAGTGGCCCTTAAAACACTTTTTCTCCTTGACTTTATTACTTTTTTGGGGAAAAAAAAGCCATATAAAAATAAAACTGTACTCTGCACAATTCATACTTCTGATCCCTGCACTCTGTACGTTACATACTTCCTGTACGTACTTCTGATCCCTGCACACTCTGTACGTTACACACTTCTGATCCCTGCACTCTGTACGTTACATACTTCTGATCCCTGCACTCTGTACGTTACACACTTCTGATCCCTGCACTCTGTACGTTACACACTTCTGATCCCTGCTCTCTGTACGTTACATACTTCTGATCCCTGCTCTCTGTACGTTACATACTTCTGATCCCTGCTCTCTGTACGTTACATACTTCTGATCCCTACACTCTGTACGTTACATACTTCTGATCCCTGCACTCTGTACGTTACATACTTCTGATCCCTGCACTCTGTACGTTACATACTTCTGATCCCTGCACTCTGTACGTTACACACTTCTGATCCCTGCACTCTGTACGTTACACACTTCTGATCCCTGCACTCTGTACGTTACACACTTCTGACCCCTGCACTCTGTACATTACACACTTCTGATCCCTGCACTCTGTACGTTACATACTTCTGATCCCTGCACTCTGTACGTTACACACTTCTGATCCCTGCACTCTGTACGTTACACACTTCTGATCCTTGCACTCTGTACGTTACACACTTCTGATCCCTGCACTCTGTACGTTACATACTTCTGATCCCTGCACTCTGTACGTTACATACTTCTGATCCATGCACTATGTACGTTACACACTTCTGATCCCTACACTCTGTACGTTACATACTTCTGATCCCTGCTCTCTCTATGTTACATACTTCTGATCCCTGCACTCTGTACGTTACATACTTCTGATCCCTGCACTATGCACAATACATACTTCTGACCCCTGCACTATGTATATTACATACTTCTGACCCCTGCACTATTAACATTACATACTTCTGACCCCTTCACTATGTACATTACATACTTCTGACCCCTGCACTATGCACATTACATACTTCTGACCCCTGCACCCTATATATTACATACTTCTGACCCCCCCTGCACTCTGTGGATTACATACTTCTGACACCTCCAGTCTGTACATGTACATAGGCTCAGTCTGTACATTAATGTTAAGCCCCCTCCCATAATGCTCCCATAATGCTGTCACACCCACAAGTCGGCATACTATTAAGTTAGCTGTATGGGACCCCCATGACTTCAAATGGGGGCCCTGCCCAGAAGAGGAGTAGGTCCCGGCAGCCATATTGTAGAGAGCCGTGCGCTTACTGTTTGCAGGCTCCCTCACTCCAGTACAAGCTGGCCAACCTCTATGAGGGCATTGGAGCCAAGATTCCAAACTGATATGCATGTTTAGAACCATTTTTTGTTTATCATGAATGGAGTCCATTTATCAAATGGCTTTTTATAAATCTTTATCTGCCTTCTCCAATACAAGAACCTGACAGGTGACAGGGATAGAGAGTGTCAGCTTCTGTCACACAGCAAAGACTTCCTACTCAGTGCAGGTAATCAGCACAAGGCGGCCCTGACGCAGCACACAGAGACTGGCAGAGTGCTCCGGGGGACAATCAGCACGCTGATCACATGGCTGGGAAATGAAAAAAAAAAAAAAAAAAAAAAAAAGCAAAGAATAAAGTAAACTGGAGCTTTCAGAATACAGATACAATCACTGCAGCCAAAGACACTTCTATATGAAATCAGTATGAAAAGATCACAAGGAGCTCGCTGTCAATCAAAGTTCTTGAATGGGACGTATCAACAAACAACTGTCAGGTGTAAGCAGAACTGCAATGACTAATTAACATAATATTAATACCCAAGGAGAAGGAGACCTAACATAACAATACCCAAAGAGAAGGAGACCTAACATAACAATACCCAAAGAGAAGGAGACCTAACATAATAATACCTAAAGAGAAGGAGACCTAACATAATAATACCTAAAGAGAAGGAGACCTAACATAACAATACCAAAGAGAAGGAGACCTAACATAACAATACCCAAAGAGAAGGAGACCTAACATAACAATACCCAAAGAGAAGGAGACCTGACATAACAATACCCAAAGAGAAGGAGACCTAACATAATAATACCCAAAGAGAAGGAGACCTAACATAACAATATCCCAAAGAGAAGGGAGACCTAACATAATAATACCCAAAGAGAAGGAGACCTAACATAATAATACCCACAGAGAAGGAGACCTAACATAATAATATGCAAAGAGAAGGAGAACTAACATAATAATATCCAAAGAGAAGGAGACCTAACATAACAATACCCAAAGAGAAGAAGACCTAACATAACAATACCCAAAGAGAAGGAGATCTAAACATAATACTACCCAAAGAGAAGGAGACCTAACATAATAATATGCAAAGAGAAGGAGAACTAACATAATAATATCCAAAGAGAAGGAGACCTAACATAATAATATCCAAAGAGAAGGAGACCTAACATAACAATACTCAAAGAGAAGGAGTCCTAACATAATAATACCGAAGGAGAAGGAGACCTAACATAACAATACTCAAAGAGAAGGAGACCTAATATAAGAATACCCAAAGAGAAGGAGACCTAATATAATAATACCAAAGAGAAGGAGACCTAACATAATAATACCCAAAGAGAAGGAGACTAATACGAGAATACCCAAGAGAAGGAGACCTAATATAACAATACCCAAAGAGAAGGAGACCTAATATAACAATACCCAAAGAGAAGGAGACCTAATATAACAATACCCAAAGAGAAGGAGACCTAATATAACAATACCCAAAGAGAAGGAGACATGACATAATAATACCCAAAGAGAAGGAGTCCTAACATAATAATACCCAAAGAAAGGAGACCTAACATAACAATACCCAAAGAGAAGGAGTCCTAATATAATACCGAAGGAGAAGGAGACCTAACATAACAATACTCAAAGAGAAGGAGTCCTAATATAAGAATACCCAAAGAGAAGGAGACCTAATATAATAATACCCAAAGAGAAGGAGACCTAATATAAGAATACCCAAAGAGAAGGAGACCTAATATAAGAATACCCAAAGAGAAGGAGACCTAATATAACAATACCCAAAGAGAAGGAGACCTAATATAACAATACCCAAAGAGAAGGAGACATGACATAATAATACCCAAAGAGAAGGAGACCTAACATAAATAATACCCACAGAGAAGGAGACCTAACATAATAATATGCAAAGAGAAGGAGTCCTAACATAATAATACCGAAGGAGAAGGAGACCTAACATAACAATACTCAAAGAGAAGGAGACCTAATATAAGAATACCCAAAGAGAAGGAGACCTAACATAACAATACTCAAAGAGAAGGAGACCTAATATAAGAATACCCAAAGAGAAGGAGACCTAACATAATAATACCCACAGAGAAGGAGACCTAACATAATAATATGCAAAGAGAAGGAGACCTAACATAATAATATCCAAAGAGAAGGAGACCTAACATAATAATACCCAAAGAGAAGGAGACCTAACATAACAATACTCAAAGAGAAGGAGATCTAACATAATACTACCCAAAGAGAAGGAGTCCTAACATAATAATACCGAAGGAGACCTAACATAACAATACCCAAAGAGAAGGAGACCTAATATAATACCGAAGGAGAAGGAGACCTAACATAACAATACTCAAAGAGAAGGAGTCCTAATATAAGAATACCCAAAGAGAAGGAGACCTAACATAAGAATACCCAAAGAGAAGGAGTCCTAATATAAGAATACCCAAAGAGAAGGAGACCTAACATAACAATACCCAAAGAGAAGGAGACCTATTGACATAATAATACCCAAAGAGAAGGAGACCTAATATAAGAATACCCAAAGAGAAGGAGACATGACATAATAATACCCAAAGAGAAGGAGACATGACATAATAATACCCAAGGAGAAGGAGACCTAACATATTGGAAAATTAGCTTTTTGGTAAACGTTAATGTACTTTCAGGAACGTAATCACTTTCCGACCACACTAGAGCCGAATGACGGCTACAGAGCGATCGTCCAGTTCTGGGAGGGCGTCTATTGATGTCCTCCCAGAACCTCTGTGCCCGCTGTGCCATGCTCTGTGTCCTGCTGACAGTTGAATGGACTGCCCTACGCATGACAAACGCCCCAAAGTAGCTCTAGAACCTATTTAACCACATTAGCCGCCCGGCCTATAGTCGTTTGGCGGCCGCAAAAATGTATTAGCTTTCCGGGCTGTACGCCATTTGGCGTCCTCCCGCACATGCGCAGTTCGCGCGGTTGCAGAACCGAAGAGCGGCGCGATCTATCACAGGCCGTGTACCTCGGACCGGCCGATGACAGATCTGAGTACCAGCCCCGTACTTTGCTATAAGCAAACTGTGTAAAAGAAAAAAAAAAATACTGATCACTTCCCCGAAGTAGTACAATGTTACTATGGTAACATTGTACTACTTTGGTCATAATAAAATACCCAAAGAAAAAAAAATTCTTAAAAAAAAAAAAAAAGTAATAAAAAATTAGAAATAATAATAAAAAAAAATATATATATATTTTTTTTTTCATACTGTCACCAGTCAGTGTCCCTGTTCACCGCCATGCCCAAAGATAAGGATGACGCTGTACTGCAATGGTGACAGTATGTAAAAAAAAAAAAACAATAGTGAAAATAATTTTTTTCAATTTTTTTCATTTTCCGAAAAATTATGACAAAAAAAGGATACAACTTCAAAAAACTCGCCATGCCTCTTATGAAGTACGTCCGACTGTCTAATCTGCAAAAAAGGGGAATTTGGGGGATATCTGCACCGTTCTGACATTTGAAGGATATCTGCATAATAATACCCATTTGAGGGATATCTGTACTGTTCTGACATTTGGGGGATATCTGTACCGTCCTGACATTTGGGGGGATATCTGTACCGTCCTGACATTTGGGGGATATCTGTACTGTCCCTGACATTTGGGGGATATCTGTACTGTCCTGACATTTGGGGGATATCTGTACCGTCCTGACATTTGGGGGATATCTGTACTGTCCTGACATTTGGGGGATAGGTACTGTCCTGACATTTGGGGGATATCTGTACCATCCTGACATTTGGGGGATATCTGTACCGTTCTGACATTTGGGGATATCTGTACTGTTCTGACATTTGGGGATATCTGTACTGTTCTGACATTCTTGGACCTCAAGAAATTAGATTGGCTGTCAGTACTTCAGGATTGATCAATTTTCAGATCTATACCATAGTTTGTGAACTCTAAACTTTCCTACAGATAAATAATACATCCTAATTTGGGTTATTTTCACCAAAGACATGTAGCAGAATACATCTCGGCCTAAATTTATGAAGAACATTTATTTGTAAACTTTTATAACAGAAACAAAGAAAAACGTGGGTTTTTTTCAAAATTTTTGGTCTTTTTTTGTTAAAGGAGCAAAAAATAAAAACCCCAGCGGTGATTAAATACCACCAAAAGAAAGCTCTAGTTGTGTGAAGAAAATGATAAAAATCTTAGTTTGGGTACAATGTTGTATGGCGCAATTGTCATTCAAAGTGTGAGAGCGCTGAAACCTGAAAAATGGCCTGGGCAGGAAGGTGTAAAAAATTGCCCAGTAATAACTGGTTAATCGTGGAGTGTCCCGCTTTTTCAGCGTGTTTTCAGCACGTTTTGTTGTGTGGGAAAAAAAACACATTTGCTAACAATGACTGGGGTGTCAATAACAATCAGGCTGCATGTTTTCTGAATGGACGCGGCAAACTGCACAGAAAACGCATGCTTTGCCGCTCATTTCAGACCTGTGCTGCAAACGCCATTGCGCTTTTCATCATAATGGCAACGCAAGTGTGTGATGCGCATTTTGAAACATGTGTGCAAAAAATGCATTTCCTGTGTGGGTTGCCACATGTTCAGCTAACAGATGCAAACACATCCTACATGGTAATGAAAGCATGTCGCGTGTTGCCTCACGTTTCCAAAACGCACAGCAAAGCAGGCATATTTTCTTACAGGTTGCCAAGCGTTCAGAAACTCACAAATGTGAACAAATGGAAACCCAAGCAAGATGTGCATTGCCGCATGTTTTTGAAACGCACGGCAAAATGTATGTTTTCTGCAGCACATTTGAAAAAGTGCACAGATGAGAACGCAGCCTAAATGGCAATGCTAACGTGACACGCATTGCCAATGCTTTTTTCAAAAAGTACAGCAATGCGTGTGTTTTCAATGCGGGTTGCTGCGTATTCAGAAACGTGCAGGAACTGTGAGCGTGACGCATATTTGGTGGGAGCTCCTGCACATTTTCGAAACACATGTCCAAGCATGCGTTTTCTGTGCGGGTTTCGTGTGTAGACCCGCAGATGCAAATGCTGCCCAAACGGTGTCACTCTGCACATGCCCAGTTTGGTGATAGCTAGAGAGGTTTTTTTTTTTTCTTGGGAGAGTGCATGTGATCAACACAGGGCCAATCAGCACTGTCCAGACAGAGGTCAGGGGTTCTGCATCCTCCTACATAAAACTCCTTCTACAAAATTTAACCAGTGCTCTGCTGGACACTGATAGAAGTCACAAGGCTGCTGTATACTGCTGATGAGAAAAGGTATTTAGAAGTTTATATTTACTAAAATAATTCCATGTTCTGTGTACTGTGGGAGAGCAGATATAGTGAATGCAGGGTCCGGGGAGACCAAGATATAGTGAATGCAGGGTCCGGGGAGACCAGATATAGTGAATGCAGGGTCCGGGGATATAGTGACCAGATATAGTGAATGCAGGGTCCAGGGTGAATGCAGGGTCCGGATATATGTGAATGCAGGGTCCAGGGAGGCCAATATAGTGAATGCAGGGTTCCAGGGAGACCAGATATAGTGAATGCAGGGTCCGCAGAGAGCAGATATAGTGAATGCAGGGTCCGGGGAGACCAGATATAGTGAATGCAGGGTCCTGGGACACCGATATAGGGAGTGCAGGGACCTGGGAGACCAGATATAGGAATGCAGGGTCTGGGGAGACCGAATATAGTGAATGCAGGGTCTGGGGAGACCAGATATAGTGAATGCAGGGTCCGGGAGAGCGGATATAGTGAATGCAGGGTCCGGGGAGAGCGGATATAGTGAATGCAGGGTCCGGGAGAGCGGATATAGTGAATGCAGGGTCCGGGGAGACCGGATATAGTGAATGCAGGGTCCGGGGAGAGCGGATATAGTGAATGCAGGGTCCGGGGAGACCGGATATAGTGAATGCAGGGTCCGGGGAGAGCGGATATAGTGAGTGAATGCAGGGTCCGGGGAGAGCGGATATAGTGAATGCAGGGTCCGGGGAGAGCGGATATAGTGAATGCAGGGTCCGGGGAGACCGGATATAGTGAATGCAGGGTCCGGGGAGACCGGATATAGTGAATGCAGGGGGAAACGGGGGGTCCGGGGACCGGATATAGGGAATGCAGGGTCCGGGGAGACCAGATATAGTGAATGCAGGGTCCGGGGAGACCGGATATAGTGAATGCAGGGTCCGGGGAGACCAGATATAGTGAATGCAGGGTCCGGGGAGACCAGATATAGGGAATGCAGGGTCCGGAGAGACCAGATTTGTGAAAAAAGTGTTTTTGTCGCAGCGACTCATGCCAATTAAGACAGCACCCATTAAAGACTACGTGTTATCACTTCATCAGCGATTCTACATGTCACCAGAATGTCGTAAGTTGCTGGAAAGTCGCTGTAGTAAACCAGGCTTATGATAAGGTTGGCCATGGACCCTTAGCCTGTAGAAAGAATACATTGGTCCTTACCTTGGTACCATTGTAGAAGTCATCCATGCAGGTGGCATTCATGAAGGTCTGGTGGAAGTGGGTGCTGGTATCAATCCCTCCGGGGATCACTAGCTTTCCAGTGGCATCGATGACCTTTGGCCCCTCCTGGTATCATCAGCTCCCGGCCCACTTGCTGGATGATGCCGTTCTCTATGTATACGTCGGCTTCCTGCGTGCAATCATCGTTCACCACCTTTCCCCCTTTGATGAGGATACGGGCACTGGCGGTGTTGGCGGTCATGGCTCTGGAAGAGGAGAAAACATTGAGTCACAGGTCATAAATGAACACTCTACTGCCATCAAATAAACAGAAACATGCGAAGAACATAAAGACATGGTCATCAGAGAACTGCAAAAAACTTCAAAGACCTGGAACAAGCATGGGCAAATCATACGTCGGGACACCTTTTAGGCACAATCTAGTGATTTACTAAGGCTCAGGATGACAGCCTCATAGCATGCAGAAGGGTGCAGGAAATATCTGGACACATCCATTGGAATGGTCCACCATTGCATGCCTCCCTGTTCCCATCACCCTGTGTCGTAATAGCGACCGAATCCCAAAAACAAAATTTCCAGAAGCAACAGTGCCTCCGACTTCTGCTAAATCAGAACAGGTATACAAACTTTCATTTAGACACGTTCATTTCATTCCGAATCAAAATTCAGACAAATTTTCCATTATTCGGATGTTTCCGAACTACAATAATAACGAATTTAAAAATAACGAAACTTGAATCGATTAGCTTTCGAAAACAAATTTGAATTGGTAAACAAGACTAGAATAAAATACAACAAAAAAATAGAATAGAAAATAAAAATAAAATAGTAGGAATAAAGAACAGAATAGAAAATAAAAGAATAAAAAACAGAATACAAAAGAAAAAGAATAGAGCAAAACAGAATAAGATAGAATAGAAGAAAATAAATTAATAGAATGGAAAAAAAAAAAAAAAAAGAATCAATTAGAATAAGACAGAAAAGATCAGAATAGAATAGAAAATCAAAGAACAGAATAGAAAAGATTAGAAAACTGAAGAATAGAAAAGAAAAAAAAAGAAAAACTACAGAATGGTATAGAATAAAATGGAAAGAATATCTGTCTTCTAAAATTCAAATTTCAAATAGAATACATTAGAATAGAATATAAAAATAAGAGAATAGAAAAGAATAGGAGGAAAAAAGAACAGAAAATGAAAGAATAGAACATAATGCAAAAGGAGAATAGAATAAAAAAGAACAAAATATAAAATAAATGAAAATAGAAAAGAAAATCAATTAGAAAACGATAGAAAAAATTAGAATAGAAAAGATTATAATAGAAAAAAAAACTATAGAATAGAATAGAAAATATAACGGTCTTCCGAAATTTGAATTTCGGATAGAATACATTAGAATAAAATAAAAGATAATAGAAAAATAGAATAGAGAATAGAGGGAAAAAAATACCAGAAAAGAATAGAACAGAATACAAAAAAACTTGAGTAAAACTGAATAAAATAGAAAATAAAGGAAAAGAATATAATCAATTAGAATAGAATATAAAAGATTAGAATAGAAAATCAAAGAAAAAACTATTGCCTGGTGCAGGTCTACAATTTTGTTTCTGGTGTCCTTCGACAGCTCTTTGGTCTTCCCCATATGTCAGGGCTCCAGGGTATGACCAGACGTCTCTGACTGACGCAGGGAAACGCAGACTTCAGATATGTTATAAACAATATAATTTATTAAAGACTAACAATACAAACATAAACGCAGTGCACCAAACCCCAAGCTAACACAAATACATACAACAAGGTGAAACAAACCCAAACCTAAACTGATACAGATACACAGGTACATACACATATAGAGCACAACGTGATCAGGCAGGCCGGGTCGATAACTATCGGGCAGGTAGGTACAGGAGGAGCAGGTGGAGAGAATGGTCAGGGTCACAAGCCAGGGATCAGAACAGGAGAAGTCAGCAGAGGTCAGGATCAAGCAGGGTCAGCAACAAGACAGGACCAGGAACGCAGGTTTACAAGATACAGGGCCCAGGAAAAACACACACACCAAGGCAAAGACTGCAGGTCTGGCCATCACTTAAATACACCTGCATAAGCAGTTTCAGGTGTTTGGCTGGCTGCAGGGTTGAGTCTCTGATTGCTGGGAGCACCCGCTGGCCAGCCCTGTTACTGCAGCCCACAAGGCAGGTGAGTCCCACCATTACTGGCAAGTCCATTCCTGATACCATAGTGGAGTTTGGAGTGTGACTGTTTGAGGTTGTGGACAGGTGTCTTTTATACTGATAAGTTCAAACAGGTGCCATTGATACAGGTAATGAGTGCAGGACAGAGGAGCCTCTTAAAGAAGAAGGTACAGGTCTGTGAGAGCCAGAAATCTTGCTTGTTTGTAGGTGACCAAATACTTATTTTCCACCATAATTTGCAGATAATTTTTTTCCAAATCAGCCAATGTGATTGTCTGGATTTGTTTTCTCATTTTATCTCTCATAGTTGAGGTCTACCTATGATGCCAATTACAGGCCTCTCTCATCTTTTTAAGTGGGAGAACTTGCACAATTGGTGGCTGACTAAATACTTTTTTGCCCCACTGTATGTTTTATAGCAAAACGTCCAAAATACTGCTTTGTTGTTTTTTTTTTTCAAAAATTGTTGGTCTTTTTCTGTTTATAGCACAAAAAATAAAAAAAATGCAGAGGCGATGAAATACCACCGAAAGAAAGCTCTATTTGTGGGGAAAAAAAGATATACATTGAAAGGAAATAAGTATTTGATCCCCTGCTGATATTGAATGTTTGCCCACTCACAAAGAAATGATCAGTCTAAAAATCAAAATGGAAGGTTACATAGTTAGTCTGGCTGAAAAAAGACAAAAGTCCATCCAGTTCAACTTTAAAAAAAAAAGAAAAGTTATAATCCTATACAATAGGTGTATTGTAACACTGAGAGACAGAATAGCAACAAAAAATTCAAAAGAAATGCATGTCTAACAAATGACTGATTTTCATGTTCATGAGGGAAATAAGTATTTGATCCCCTATCATTCAGCAGGATTTCTGGCTACCAGGTGTCTTTCATACAGGTAACAAGCTGAGATTAGAAGCAGTCTCTTAAAGGGAGTGCTGCTAATCTCACTGATCTGCATGTTCATGGGGGAAATAGGTATTTGATCCCCTTCACAAAACATGACTTAGTACTTGGTGGCAAATCCCTTGTTGGCAATCACAGAGGTCAGACGTTTCCTGTAGTTGGCCACCAGGTTTGCACACATCTCAGGAGGGATTTTGGCCCACTCCTCTTGGCAGATCCTCTCCAAGTCATTAAGGTTTGGTGGCTGACGTTTGGCAACTCGAACTTTCAGCTCCTTCCACAGGAGGGGATCAAATACTTATTTCCTTTACTGTACATTTCATTTATGTACAAGAGTTTTGGTTTTGCTGGGAGAAACGGTGGCAACCCTAGCGGTCCTTACACTGCAATACACAGCCCTGCATGGAGTACCCATCATAGTGCTCGCAATGGCAAGCGCTCACTGGTCAGCACAGCCTTGTGACTACGCTGCCCAGAGAAAAGCGCTTCTTTCTTCTAGAACACTTTATCAGAAGCCTCAGATGTGCTTCTCATTGGCCAGTAGAGTCACATCGTTGTGCTGACCACTAAACTCTTGCCATTCCAAGCAATATGAAGGGCTGTATATTGCACTGTAAGGACATCTACAATAGCACCAGTGGGCATCATGGCCGCTATGTGCAAGGAGCAACCAGGATATTTTAAATTTCTTCACTAAAAAGTGATCTTACCCTTTTAACCACACCCCCCCCCCCCCCCCCCCCATTCGCACTGGGTGCAACTTGGCATGCGTATCAGATGTCTTGCAAATCACACCTGAGATCGGCGCTTCACCTGACTTTGAAATCGTGCGACTTCACTGTAAGTCGCATGATTTCAAAGTCGGCTTGATGTGACACGGGGGGGTTAAAGTATATGTAAACCCAATTCCTGAAACTTCAATATACTTTATCCCGCACCTTTCAATAAACTATTGCGGGCAGCACAGTGGCTAAGTGGTTAGGGTATTAGGGTCGTTGGTTCGAATCCCCACCATGGCACCACCTGCCTGGAGTTTGCATGTTCTCCCTGTGCCTGCGTGGGTTTCCTCTGGGTACTCCGGTTTCCTCCCACGCTCCAAAGACATGCTGGTAGGTGAATTGGCTCCTGTCTAAATTGGCCCTAGTATGTGTATGTATGAATGTGAGTTAGGGACCTTAGATTGTACACCCCTTGAGGGTTAGGGACTGATGTGAATGTACAATATTTATGTAAAGCGCTGCGTAAATTGACAGCGCTATAAGTACCTGAAATAAATAAATAAAATAAATAATATTCCCTGGAATAAACGTCCAGCAGAGGTAGTGAGACAGTAAACAGCCTTAAATGTCCTTGGGACAACCATAGATCTATACTCAGACAAAAAAAGCGAACTAAAAAAAAAAAACCCATAAAAAAAACA